TTAGAACTGATGCATAAACTTTTCATTTCTTAAAATTACTCAAATCAAACAATCAACGATAAAATACTGTTCAATCTTTTACGAAAAAAGTAGTTTGAAAATACAGAATGAATCCTACTGCTTTACATGCTTTGTTGAATGACAATTAAAGAAGGCAGTACATAAAAGTTGTGAGGTACATATGTTTCCTCACATCATAGTCTTATATAATTACAGGGATTCAAATATTTTGTTATGTATATGCGAGGAAGAGAAGAAATGATTTGTAGGGTACAGAATGAACCATTGGTAAGTTTAATTGTTCCTCAATCACTGATACTTGACGTAGAAACCTACTTGTAATTTTTGAGAAAAATGGTAATAAATTGCATGATAATATTGGTTTATTATGTACTATCATGAAGGTATTGTCTTATGGCACTATAAAATACCATTCGTTTGTGTGTTAGTGATGTATTTTTCAAAACCCATCGTTAACAATATATGATTTTTTCAACCAGTCTACAATTAAAGAAAATGGCATAATATCTCTTTGTTGTAATACTGACAAAATGGCCACTAACCACTAAAATACAATCATTATTTTGTCAAAAATTTATAAGCTGGTGATCTCAAACATTTTTTAAGTCAATATCCTTATAATGCCAAGGAGTACAATTTATTGCAAAAGGAATAAATTCTGGGTATTTGAATTTATGAGTAGGGTTCTACCTTAAAATATTTTATACTGCCTCATATCCAATCTTACTGTTATGTTCATTAACTTGATATGTAAATTATACACTAATTACAAATGTCTTTCAGTGAATTATTTCAATTGACTAAAATCAATGTATACATTTTTTCGCAGACGCCGTCTGAGAGTGAACAAAACACCCCACTGAGTTTCTCATTCAGTGGCAGTCTCAATGCCGCAAATATGCCTTTTGATGAGTAAGTCTGAAATACACCGATTGTAATCTTTCTCTTTAGTGTTTCACTTAGCTGTAATGGTGGATAACGACACAGTGTTTAGTGCCTGGCAGTGAATATTTCCAACATAACTTGCATAATATCAAATGAATGGTTTGAAAAAATCAATTTTGTTGTCAACATTTGTAATTATCTTCTTGCTCGATATTCAATGAATGTTTGTTTTTTTCAATTGATCAGGGGGTCCTTGATGTTATCTGCAAGAACACAGAAAAGGTATGCCCTTGTTAACACTCACATGCAATGATGATCAATCATATTTATGCCTGAATAATTTGGCGAGTCATCTATAATTGAAAAATACATATATTAAATATATTTTCATTCGCATCATTTCAAATGCTTGAAGCTGTCTTAGTCAGAAATAACATTCACATCAAATTGATTTACTGTCAACTAAACCAATTTACTTTATCAGCACAGAGATATATCATGTAACATGTGTATGTTTTGTTTATTGTCAGTCTAAGTGGATTTGCAGAGATTGATGTGGGCCTTCCACCAGCATCACCAGTTGAGAGGGAAATTGCACAGTCTGTGAGTAACTATGTTGAATAGCATGTTTCAACACTATTACCGTACTTCCCCGTTCATAAGCCCGGGGCCTGAACATGTAAAATCAAGAAAATTAGGGGATGGGCTTATACTTGAGGACTACCTCAGAAAAGATTTTTTGGGGAGAGTTAAAAATGTAATCATCTTCCCACCCACGAAAAATTATCCATTTTTCATTCACAGCACTGGTCTTGGAGAAATATTTTTAGGGAAAAAATGCGAAACGAGCTGCCGTCATTGATTTCCACAACACTTTTTAGAATGAGGAAACAAACATGTTCATAAAAATACACACATTTTATTACAATACAGTTTACATATCGTCTGATTTTACAGTGCAAAAATGTGAGAAAACAGTCGAAAGGCAAGATCTTTATCATTATTTTCGCTGTGGAATGTTATCGATCGTACGCAAATTCTCAATACAAAGCAATTTCCGCCATAGTGTTTTTAGTCCCCGTTCGAACAAAGTCCGAAAATGAGGACTTATAATTCAATCTCTGTGCGTCCGTCCGGAGTCGTATCTCAAAATCTTTTGGACCGATTCCAAGCATTCTTTGCATGTGTCTAGTACTTTATGTGGGACATATGCACATGCAGTGGTTTAGCGATTCGATTCAAAATGGCCGACTGGCAGCCATCTTGTTTTTTGAAAATGTTGTATTTTGGACATGCTTTGTCAGTTTTCATTCAAACTTGGTACATAGATTATACATGTTAGGATACATGTCCATGATGATTTATTTCACAATTGGATCAAAGATGGCCGACTGGCAGCCATCTTGTTTTTTGAAAATGTTGTATTTTGGACATGCTTTGTCAGTTTTCATTCAAATTTAGTACATAGATCATACATGTTAGGATACATGTCCCTGACCGTCCGTGAGTTCCTGAGTCTGTCCGTCCAACCGTCCGTGTGTCCGTCTGTCTGTGCGTCAGTCTGTCCAACGTCATATTTCAGAATCCTGTGGACCGATTCCGTTCATTCTTTGCATGTGCCTAGTACCTTATGTGGGACAGATGCACATGCAGTGGTTTAGCGATTCGATTGAAAATGGTCGACTGGCAGCCATCTTGTTTTTTGAAAATGTTGTATTTTGGACATGCTTTGTCAGTTGTCATTCAAACTTGGTACATAGATTATACATGTTAGGATACATGTCCATGGCGATCCATTTCGCAATTGGATCAAAGATGGTCGACTGGCAGGCATCTTTTTTTTTTTTTTATGGGGTATCTTGGACGTGCTCTGTCAGTTTTCATTCAAACTTGGCACATACATGTACTTTATACATGTTAGGATGCATGTCCATGACAATTTGTTTCAAAATCTGGTCAAGGATGGCCGATTGACAGCCATCTGACTTTTTGGCCTTACTACTATATTTCCACAATTTATGTACCATTTTTATTCGTATTTGGCACATACATCATACATATCAGTGTGTTTCATAATCAGATCAAAGATGGACGAATAACGGCAGTTTTTATTTTGGCCATATTACTATGACACGAAATACGTGTTTTGATGTAAATAAACATTCTGTTGTATACGCCACTTGGAACTCAAGTTTCAAGGACACGCTCGCGACAACCCCTCCGCTTTAATATGACGAGCACAAAGAGAACTTAACGGGGACTGTGTCATTTTCAATGACTTGTTCATCATGATTTTACCTGAACAACTTCCTTCGAGCTAACAGACGAATTTTTCCAATTATTGACACTGATTTCTACAAAAAACAGTGATTTTTTTCCCTAAAAGCTGTTGATTCGCAATTTTCGAAAGGTAAACTGAGGGTAGAGGAAGTATTTAAACCTTTCACGGTCACCAACAAGTCGTGTCGAACACACCCCATTCATGATAGTCTCAATGGACACAATTTTTCAGAAAAGTAAAATGATGTTCAATGACCATACTTGACGATCACTTATTGGTGTTTCAAAAACTACTGCTCAAAAGAAATATGGATTATCTCAGTATTGCAACATCGGGGTTCATCCTGAGTAAATAACAGAATAGAAAATGTGCGAACCATGTTCCGTACGTTCGCCCGCAATGCACTCTGAAATTAATTTGAGTTTTCTCGTAAAAGCAGGAAACAAACTACCATACCATACCATATTTTTATGCAATGAAATATACGTTTTACATGCATATTTTAATAAATGTTGTTGACATCCGGTAAAAACACCCTGGGCCTATACTCGGGATCCCTCAACTCATTATATGTCTAAAAACAGAGACTTATACTCAATGAGGGGCTTATGCTTGGGGAAGTACGGTGTATATATATGTATGGTGTATGTCATAATCTAGCAACGAACAGAGTGGTTAATATAATTATTATATCCTGGATTAAGTGCTTAAATGAAGATTAAATCAGTGCAAAGCACAAACATGGCTGTCACCAATCCATCGTCAATAATGAATCATATCTGATTTCATTTGATTTGATTGTGTTTATGTTTAATAGACTTTAATGTTTGCTGAGATCTCTCTCATCATGCCCACTGTTTCGTTATCATGGTTACATAGGTCAGGGGAACTGTGGACAAGATGACAAGAAAGAATAGTACAGTATTTAGGGAGAAAAAATTCTTGTGGTTGTCTCGCTCTCAATATCTCGATGGCCATTTGTATCTAAGATTGAATTGTCTTTTATATTGATATTGACATTGAATTTATTGAATTCTCAGGACGATAACTCCACCCTATTCTTAATAGCTGGCTATGCACGCTATGGATGTCCATATGTGTGGGTTAGATCAAACCATGAAAGGCTTGTTAAACTGAGTGGTAATGAATCTTTCAACAAAGACAGTCCTTTGAAACTTAAAACAACAGCACACTGGTCAGAACGAGGTAATATATAATTAATATTCACCAACTAGAGTAGTACAATATAGGAAGTGAAGTACTCCCATTTGTTTGCATGTGTTTATATTTAAATTTTTTGCTTCCATGTATAGCACAAATAGAGAATAATGTATCACATGAACCACTCAGTGGATTGAAATGCAATGTGGTACACAGATACCTCACGATTCTCTCTAGACTGGATTAGATTTGGGGTCAAATCTGTTAATATTAATTATGTAATTTGCATACTAATTAGCTACTTTTAGCATGTTTTGTTGTTGTTTATATTTTAAGAAGCGAATAAATTACAATAATCAGCTAAAAAAGTTTCAGTTTTCATGGTACATACAAATTTTTTTTGTAGTTGAATACCAAACACTATTTTGGAATTATTCTGAATTATGTTTCTACACTATTTAACTTTTTCCAGCATATTTTGTTGATATCTTAACAATAGCTCAATGGGTTAAATCTTACATGCATACTGTTTGTGTAGTTGCATGACTTTAGTCTGTAATGTTTGTAGAGATGAATATCTGCTATCAGTTTGTAACTGTTAATTTGCAGTGATTAACTTTAATAATACTAGTAGTCTGTTTTTTTCAATATCATTATTAGTTTATTCTAATGGTTATAAAATTTACACATGCATAGCTGTGATTATCAAGTATTTTCAGCCTTTTTATTTTGTTTTGTATATCTTAAGGCCTCATAAAAAAAAGTTTCTGGTCTAATTATTTTCAAAAATGGGCCAGGGGTGATGTAATTTTCTTTTGGCTAAAATCTTTGATGGGAGCATAATAAATGAATTTCATCAATTTGTCAACAGTGCAGTGCAGTGATATGATGACTAAAAACATTACTTTTTTGGGGGTTGTAACTACAATTTAATCAAATGGATATTTAATCACAATGTATCATCAGTGTTGGAGCAGTCTATAAAACTAACACTTTTTGTTTTTTTGTAAACACTTGTTTAAGCATATCTCGTAATGGGTGTTGCAGCTTTCCACAATGAGTTTTGTTTCAGTACAATGCATGTCAAATGTTTTTAATTCCAAAATTCATGTCAAACTCCATTTTTGCATTTCCTAGAAAACAAAATCTGGGATATAATGGCAGAGTTGGTGAAGATTTGTACCTTGCCAATTCCAAGAAATCCATTCGCTGTGGACATTGAATATTTTGATCAATTACCATTAATGGAGCGTATCTTAGCAACTGGTGCCATGGCAAACTTCCTCCAAAAAGTATTGAGCTGTAATCCAGATAAACCATACAGTAGTCATGGTAATAAACATAATTTATGCAAGAATTGATTTTCTTATACCTCCATGGATACTGGGGATAAAATATTGTAGCTGTCATAGCAACATAGGGTGGTTATTGTCCATTTTCTGTATAAATGTTGTTTAAATCTCACAGTTAATGTTAAGGAATATATGTGTTATTCGTGTATATAGTAATTAAAATGATATATATTGTTTATTTTTTTCTCAAAATACTAACAGTTTAATCATTCAAAACTAAAAAAAGTAATTATATGATAATTATATCATTTATTTATCAATTTATTGTACATGGTATTTATCTATGTTTCAGTTGTAAAAGATTTGGATGAGATTACAAAGAAACATTTTACTGACATGCAGACATATGTGCAACAACTGAAGCAGCAACCATCCGAAGTGATGCAGTCTCACTGTGCAGCAAAGTATGCTCTGCAGTCGCAACAACAAACAGTAGCACAACAATTGCAACCAGTGGTGCAGCAGCAGCAGCAAACACAACAGTCACAATCACAGCAATCTCAACAAGTAGTGCAACAACCAACAGAACAGCAGCAAAGTCAGTCTGTGCAATATAATCTATACAAAAGTAGTGGAGGCTTAACTAAGAGGGCACATGCACAATATTATTAAACCACAAATTATCCAAATCTTCATGCAATATTTTTCCTTTACAGTTTTCACCATTTTAATGAGTGAATGAGTAAAACAGTAATTTTCATGTCAAATGTTTCATTAGTATGTCTTTCAAATTATTCTTTCGACTGTACTGAAATATGTATGTTTTGTCAAGACTCATTTCGTTCATTTAGTAACAAATAATGTACATATTCTATGTGTCAGATGCATAAACCTATTTTACTGAGACCCATTTAGGCATATTAAATTTTCATGATAAAAGTATGGATTTTAGGAAGAAATGGCTTGCTACATTTAGTAATAAAACCTTTATGGTTATTCTGGTCTTCACATTAAAATGTTTATTGAGTCCTTCACTTCATTCTTAGAAGTCTGTTCAAGTAATGTTATTGTCAATGTCAAGTTTTTCACGTTGCACATACCGAGCGTAATAAGCAGCATAATTTGTTTTCAAAACTTTTGATCAAGACATGTAATCAACAGAAAATTATATCCATTTGGACCAAAATTAGGGAAACTATAGAAAAATGCATAGAAATATTTCATAAGAAATGACAGAAAAAAAAACAGGAATTAGAAAAAATAACCTGAATTATACAAAAATGTAAATTTGAATTTAACATCTTTACACAATGTTAAATTGTAATTCTGTTTATTTTGCATTGTTCTGAATAACCAGTAAATAATTAAATCTTCCTTTATTTAATAATTTGTTGCTTTACTAACTTGTTTTAACAAAGTTCAAATTGAGTATTATTAGTTTAAGTTTCATTCATACCCCATGTCAACATTGACCAATTTCGGTTTAGCTTGGTTCAAATACAAATAGGATACCATCTA